AGGGGGGAAAAAAAAAAAAAAGGAAAAAAAAAAAAAAAAAAAAAGGGGGAAGGGGGGAAAAAAAAAAATTTTTAACGTTTTTTTTTTTTTGAAATTTAGTTTAAGAAGTATATAGTTTTTACAAATACCCCTCATTTTAAGTTTCATGTATAAGCATTTTAAATACCAAAATTTAAAGCTGGTTAAAAAAATTAAGATTAATTTAAAATTTAAACAATTCCTCTCTATAATTAATGCCTAAATCAAACACTACAGGCAAAGGAGATTTCGAGTTAAATCAGTAGTTTTAATGGAGGAATCTATATAAAGTAATAATGTATTTGAAGTATCGTAATGGGTTCAAAATGAAAATTTTTTAATTCAGATCGTAGTAATGAATTTTTGGTCCGTCTGCACTTAATGTAAAAAAACTAAAAAATTTTAAAATTTAAATTCTTCTCGACTAGATTTTAATTTAACGTTAAAATTGTCAAATTCGACGAAAATTAAGAAAATTTGCCGTTTCCTGTTACGCAAGTCCGTACCCAATTTATTTTTTTTGGTGAATAAAACGACCCTCGTTCCCAAATTAAAAAAAATGAATGGTAACAAAAATTTGGAGGTAGTGGGCCAGGTGGAGGGCCAGTCCTGCCCACCTATCTCCGGCCTTGGTCAGTGTTAGCTTTCTGCATGGGTAACTTTGGCGCTTCCCGTCTTACACCTAGCAAAGTTTGGTAGGCAAATTTGTAAAGTAGCTTCGTAAAGGAATGACATAGCTGGAGCTTCCAGGGACAAGAGAATTACTTAGCACATTTGTGAAACATTTTGCACGTATATAACTCGTTAAACATTCTTTTCTAATTTGGTATTAACATTGTTTTCCTAGTGGGCGAGACAAAACTGGCTTTGTTTGCGTTAATTAGGCTTTAATCTTATCGGGTCGGATTTATAATACCCCTATTCAATTTACCAATAAAAATGTAATATTCACTCTTTTATTTTGCCCTGCATCTAATATATTTCTCGTTTGGGTTTCAAAATTGTTCAAACTTTCAAGGGAAATTAATTTTCAAAATACAATTCCAACTTGTTTTAATATATAAATTAATTTTCTAAGAAATTAAATTATAAAAGATAATAAAATTTTCCATGATATAAGTTTAAGTGTGTTTAGATTGTTTTATTGGCACTTAATTAGGGTTTGCAACTTTCTTAATTGATTATTCGAATGGGATAATCAGTAAATCAAGGAGTATATGCGGGGTGATTACCCAATAGCTTTAGTTTTATGAGGTTTTTCGACTTCCGCAACGTAAACTTTCCCACTAGCCAATCCCTTTTTCTTCTAGGGCGGGTGAGATTACTTAGGTTTTAATGCACCATTAAACCGAAAAAAAATACTTTTCCCGCTAACTATTCATAAGATCATCTTCAATGCAGATGTGGATTGCTCTTAGTTTAACTCTCACATCAAAAAAATATGCTACATTTAACTAGGAGTAGTTGGGAAGTTATTCTATTGTGTAAGGGACAGTTGAATGGTCTATTTTTTTTAGAAGTAAATTGATAAATGCATAAAAAATTACATTTCTCATCGTCTAACTTACCATAACCAAACATTAATCTAATCAAATTAGAGTTACGAGTCAAATTAGATGAAATTAGATTTAATTAATCAAACAAATATTACTTATTATGAATTTAATTAATTTAATCCAAATTAAAAATATTTTATTATATTTTAATTGAATGATTCAATTGCTTTCTTAAATATATTATAAAAAACCTAAACACATTAGTAAAATGGTTTTTAATTTTTATGTTATAATCAAAGGAGTTGGGTTTGATTGGCACACCGGAGATAAAATAATTTACTTTAAATATATATATGTACGCTATAATAAATTTAACTCAAAATACTAAAGAAAAGAGTTTGGATGATTTTTAATATTATGGAGAAAATTAATAGTTGAAAGATTTTATGAGGAGACAAAAGCCACATCAGCCCATGAAGGAAAAAAAAAAAGATAATACGACCTGTAACGTGGATAAGGAAATTTTTCAAGCAAAAAATCTTTTTTTTCGCGCCTAAAGAAAAGCTGTAAACATGGTCAATGTACATGTGGTATTATTGGAGTTTTGTCTCTATTAGAGGGAGGGTAATTAGTGAAAAATTAATACATTGGTTTAAAAGACTAAATTAAGTTGCAAATACAATTTAGAAGGATCAATCGGTTTTGCAATTAGCAAGATGTGGTTGATTTTGGTAAGAAATTCAATAGCGCCTAAAATGTAAAAGTTCTTCCTTCTGCTTTAATAGTTTGGTTATAGAAATTCAGAGTTCAATTATTGATCTTTAATGTATATTTTCATTGCTTGCCCTTTTTAAGAGTTCATTGGTGAAGGTCAAAAATCATAATTGTTGTATGAAATTCATATATGACATTTTTTTAACAGCAAAATTAATTTATTTTATTAATATAACTAAAAAAATTTTAATTTATCCAAGTAAATTAAGTCAAGCGCATTACACACCAAACTAAACTTAAAAAAGTTAAAGTGTGAAAAACATGATAATATAAATACATCATAAAGCAAAACAAACAAAAAATTAAAAAAGAAATTTAAATATTGATCAGCCTTTTATTTTTTTAAATAAAAAAAGGAATTCTTCAAGGGAAAATATCAAAAAAGGAAAAATCAAGATCTAATATAACATAAGCCGTTGATTAGTTAATTAAGATGGCGCTGCCAAGTCCATCAAAATGTATATTTCCATTTTGCTAGGCAGTAAAGAAACAAAAGGGAAAAACAAGAATACACAAGAACTTTCCACAAGTTATTCTCTTGAAAAAATTCTAAAAACTAGAAACTAAGAAATACAGCTTTCTTTAGCGATACAGAAATGCCCATGCATTCAGCATATTGCTTGTAACTTGTCGAAAACGGAGATATTAGCTAGATATAGGCGAATCGCTCAAGGATTGGATGCAGTGTAGCTTACGGCAGGACCACTTGAATCCAAGGCAGAGATGAGAGTTCTTGGCCACAGTCAATAAGAAGCCTCAAGAGCAAATGGGTTAAAAAGAATAATTTATATTCAGAAGCCTTAACTTTTTAATGGTAGTGCAAAGACAAAGAGCAAGCATCTAAGTCCAGTAAGCCTTTGAAGCACTGGCACAGGCGTCTTAGCACTACGCACCAAATCCCAATATGCACTAAACCACCTAACACATCACACATGCTCCTAGCTTTTAGAGGCAATGCATAGGGGCAAGTCTCTTGCGCTTTGGGGGGTGGAGGTGGGCATGCACTGGAGGTGGCGGAAGGAGGGCATGGTGGTTTCATTCAGTTTGGGCGGTGGGGCTTCACAACAGGAGGCTTTGGTGGTAGAGTTGGCGGTGCTGGTGGGTTTACCGGGCGGCGGTTAGGATAATAGCGGTGGTGGTAGGGGTTAACAGGAGGGCTTTGGTGGGGTAGAGTCGGAGGCTTGATCACCGGTGGTTTTGGTGTCGGTGTTACCGGAGGGGTGGAATAAGGCGGCCGGAGTTGGGGTAACAGGAGGCTTTGGTGGTAAAGTTGGTGGGCGAAATGATTGGTGGTTTGGGACATAAGGTGGTGGCTTTACAGTAGGAGGCTTTGGTGGTAAAGTTGGTGGGGAAATGATTGGTGGTTTGGGTACATAAGGTGGTGGCTTTACAGTAGGAGGCTTTGGTGGTAAAGTTGGTGGGGAAATGATTGGTGGTTTGGGTACATAAGGTGGTGGCTTTACAGTAGGAGGTTTTGGTATATGGGGTGGATATACAATTGGAGGCTTGACAACCGGTGGTTTGGGTACGGTTGGTGGTTTGACAACGGGTGGTTTGGGTACATAAGGTGGCGGCTTTACAGTAGGAGGTTTTGGTACATGGGGTGGATATACAATTGGAGGCTTGACAACCGGTGGTTTTGGTACGGTTGGTGGTTTGACAACGGGTGGTTTGGGAACCACCGGAGGTTTGGGTGGCTTAGGTGGGTAGTGTTTGGGAGGTTTATGGTGAGAGGGTGGCTTTACCTTAGGAGGGTGTTTGGGTGGGAACTTAGGAGGATGCTTCGGTGAAGGTGGAGTTGGGTAAGGACAGTAAGGGCAAGCAAGAGAAGGGATCAAAGAGCCTAAGTTGAGAAGGAGAAACAAGAGATTTACAAGAACAAGCTTGGCCATTGTAGCTGTCTCCTTCAGTGGCTTCTCAGTGAATGAAGTTCTAGCCTTCTTATAGACATCAAGAATGAAAAAAATATCAATCAATCAATTCTCAAAAACAGGAAAAAAGAAAAAAAAAAAGTGAAAAATAGTAATGGCCATCACTTTTATTTTATTTTATTTTGTGGCGTTAGATTGACTTCTTAGATATTATGTGAGTGTGCGTGGATTTAAAATAGTATCACAAAATCCTTTTATTATGTTAAAGTTATATTTTCATATAAGAAACATAAATTACAAATTAAATTTTTCTTAAGAAGAAAAATTGGTTATTTATGATTATCCTCAAAAAAAATGTTATTTATTATAATCTCGAAAATGAAAGCACAATTAAGAAAATAAAAAAATAACTCATTAAATTATGTAAATACTCCTTCCGTCCCATTTTATTTGCATGGTTTGACAAAACACGCATATTAAGAATTTAGTCAACAAAAATTATTTTATCATTTTCACCCTTAACTCAATAAAATATTAATAAAAGTCATTCATTTAATGAATAATCATAAATGTTATTATGGAAAAAGTAATTGTTTAAATGTACAAATTTAGAAATTTTGCAAATATTTTGTGACATTCAAAAAAGGAATAACAAATAAATAAAATGGAACGGAAGAAGTATTACTTATAGGTCATGTTCGGTAACACTAACTATTAGTTGTTCTAATAACTTTTAGGGTCTACTTTTTGGATATGTTTGGTAAAATTAGCTGTTTTGCATTATTAGCTATTTTAGCATCTGTTAGCTATTTGAATAGTTTTTCGTAAAACACTAAAGCTATGGGTTATTAAATAGTTTTTCGTAAAACACCAAAGTTATGAATTAACTTTTTATAAAATACTACATTAACCTCTAAAAGCTAGTTCAAACGCTATAAAAAAAATAGTGAAATGCTAAAAGCTACTTAACAAGCTATTACTGAATACAGTCTTATATGTTTTAGTAGCTGTTGATCATTAGATGTTAGGAATTAGCAGTTAGTTGTTAAAAAATAACAATTTGAGTGACCGTTAAATTTAAAATAATGAAAGAAGACATTGAAATATTGACTTAAAATTTTCACTAAAATTAAACTCGTTATATATATAAAAAAATAGATAATTTCTATGTTATATATATACACAAAGAAAGATTTAATGTGTTATTAATTTTTTATCTAGAGAATGTAAATTTATGGTGCGTAGACCAACTAGATAAAATTTACATTATTAAATATTTATATTTATATGGTGTGCAACTCAACTATATATTTATATTTATATAGATACAAATATTAATGAAAAACTGTAAATTATTTTTTTAAGAAGAGAAATTTTCAAAATTTCAATTATATTATTAATTTTATTAATTATTAAAAAAATAAAATATAATTACTAATATTTTTACAACAAACACCATCACCAAAATCAAAATCCAAAAATCCTGATATCAAAAATAAGAAATTAGAATACTAATGCAATGCAAACACTTTTATGCCCCAAAATTAACTAAATAAACTCAAGACTTTTCAATCAGAGAGTTTAATTTTGATTTTGAGACGGCTGCACTACATGCACCACTTTGCACTTGCACGTGTCAAGTATCTGTAAGCATGTTCAACTATATATACTTGATAGTGATGAATGATGCAGCTGGTGAAAGCAATTATTTGATTGAAAACTTACCACCGACATTAAAAAAATGGTAAATAAATGAGGTAATTGGTCGACTAATACCCATTTAGGTATCATTATCAAAATAGATTGGGGGACCAGTAATTAAGTTAGCTGTTGGAGTTCAAAACGACAAAAAGAATCAGGAAAAACGAGTAATTAGATTTTGGACATTTTTAACATTTAGTGCCCTGTTCAGCCCGTGATTGACTTTAATGGCTGCAGGATGAGAGACATGTGATGCTCTTTTACTTTGTTAAACATATTCATAACAAGACAAAGCCATTTTCCATTTTCATTTTTGACCTATTTTTTTTAATTTCTATGAATATATATATTTTATTATAAATATAATTTTGGTCTTCATATAATTATCATTTTAGAACTGACAGTATAAGGCTTCGCACATGACAAATTAGTGCTAATTGAAATATTTATTAATAACTGAATAAAATAAGTCAACCTTTTCAACTGGTTAAATTGGCCGGATGATGATGAGTTTTAGAATTTAATTATAAAAGGGCTGTTTTTTTTTTTTTTTTTTTTTTACGCTAAATGATGACTAATGGCTTCTTAGTATTCAATTAAGTTCTACAAACAAACAATTTGCTTGTAACCACTGATAAAAAAAAAAAAAAAACAAGCAGCACTCGTATTTTAGATATAGTTAAATGTCTAAAAAGCGTCTCATCATCATCCCGGCCCATTTTTAACCAGTGTGAAATTTGGTATATTGAAACTTATTTTATTTCAGTTATTAATAATAAATATTTCAATTAGCACTAATTATGTCATGAGTGCGAGGCGCCTTATACTGGTCAGTTCTCTATAAATGATATTATTATTATGAATGTATCCAAAATTATTATTATAATAATAAAATTAATTTATATTTTGCATAGAAATTTTATAAATAATACGGTCAAAGTATGAAATGGAAAAATGGCTGTTGTTTCTGTGTTATGAAAGTCCAATTGTTTTAACAAAGGTAATGAGCATCACATTGGTGGCTTCGTCTATAGGACCTGCAGGGGCCAATTAAAGGTCAATCTATCGGGGCTAGATGAACAGGAGGAGGGCCTATAAATGTTAACAATTGGTCTCACTTAAAATCGCTTACTCTCACTCGTTTCCCTGACATTCTTTTTTGACGTGTAGTAACGCTCCACAACAGCGTATACTTTAGTAAGTTGACTGGTCCCCCCAATTTATATTGTTGATAATCCGATACCTATAATGAGGTATTAGTTCGAATCAACCAATTAGAACATCATTAATTTACCACTCTTTATTTGTAACTCGTCGGGTGGGTATATGTGATTTTTCTCGAATCAATCAATATAATTCGCTTTCAACGGGCAGCTGCATCATTCATCACTATCAAAGCTACTACTATATAGTTGACCATGCTACAGGGATTACTGATAGAACTGCTTAGTGCAATGGTGGGTAGACATGTATAGCTGGCACAGACCGATCATAAAATCAAAATGTAAAATCTCTCGGAATTGATACACAAGTCTATAATGGTATGTTATTTAGTTATATTTAGTTTTCTCGGTGGACAATCAAAAGTGTTTAGAGCATTGCGTTGTCATGCCTCGAAATTAATGCTCATAATTATCTTAATTTTTTTGTGCAATTATCATGTGATTATATTGGATGTTTGATTAATTAAAATTGGTAGATTCGGTTTGTTTGTGACACTTTGGGCTATAAAAAAATATTAGTAATATTTTTATTTTTTTAAATTTAATTATAAAATTAATAATATAATTGAAATTTTGGAAAATTTCTCTTCTTAAAAAATAATTTACAGTTTTTTCATAAATTATTGTATCCTATAATAAAATATAATATATTAGTTGAGTTCCACATAATAAATAATAATATTTAATAATGGTAAATTTTATCTAGTTGGTCCTACCGCACCAATAAATTTACATTCTCTAGATAAAAAATTAAATAACACAGTTAAAATCTTTCTTTGTGTATATTATAACATAGAAATTAATCTTTATTTTTTTTATATATAAACGAGTTATTTTTAGTGAAAATTTTTAAAGTCAATATTTTCATATGTCTTCTTTCATTATTTTTAAATTTTAACGGTCATCAAATTGTTTAATTTTTTTAAGCACTAAACTGGACTAATTCCTAATACTATCTTAATGATAAACAAGCATTAAAATTAACATTTGAAATTCACACCTCAAGCTAATGACATGTTATATTATTCTAGTTATATTAGCTGTTAATAAATGCTAGCTTCTTAGCATTTCACTATTTTATCTTCTATAGCGTTTGAACTATGTCTTTGTTAGAGGTTTACAATTGGTACGTTCTTATGTTCTATAAAAAACGTTTAATTCATAAACTTTGGTGTTTTACGAAAGAACTCAGTCATTTTAATATATAATCGCTCATAGCTTAGCGTATGTGTTTATGATCGTAATATATCATATATTTCAAAATAGCTATAACAGATGCTAAAATAGACTATTTTTTTTTTTTTTTTTTTTTATCAGTGTTGAAGCATTGTGTGTAGACTTAATTGAAACAGTATTAGTCATCATTTTACGTATGTCCACAGGTTTGGTTAGAACCATAATCAAATTGAAACCAGACTGGGTTTTATTGAATCAAAACCGGGCTCGGAATTCTCAATTCTAAAATTTGAATCGGAATCAATAGTTTAAAAGCCAACTAAGGTTATGCGAAATGCATAATATAGCCTCTAAAAGTTTAATAAAAAAAATCTTTTGACACTCTAGATTTTAAAATCAACCTTTTGACACCTTGAATTTTATTTTATTTAATAATCTCACATTTTGTCATGCCAGCGACCATAATTTTTTAGGTTTTTAGTTTTTATATATAAAATATTGAATTGTTATGTGGTTAATATAGCTTTTGGTACTATAATTTTTATATTTTTTAACTATTCAATATGTGTTTAATTGATCTAATTTTATAAGTTCAGGTGTCTAACAACCAATCAAAATACTTAATAGGTACAATTTTATAAATCAAAATATTCAGTAAGTCAAAATGAAAGTTAAAAATGCCACAAGATTTTTCATAAACAGTAAAAAGGTGAATTTAAGTATAGATCCATTAAGGTTCACTTTACTTAATAGTGTAATTTGGTTAGTATAAAATAGAATGATTCTCATTCCAATTTCATTCTAAAACATTTTAGAATTTAAAGTTTCATTACATTCCGTTTCAAATGTTTTTTAGAATTAAAGTACCATTCTAACCTGTTCCAAATATTTTTTGGAATTTAAATTTCATTTCGTACCATTTTATGAAAATTCAATTTGAAATTTAATAATTCCAAATTTCT